AATGACTATAATAAGCCATAGCAAAGGATTAACAGCGTCTATTTTTACATGTGGGGATCTATGATGATGGCTTATTGACCCCAAGTTTCCTATTAAACAGACTGGCAGCCTTCTAAAGTGTTGCATGTCACCTATAGGCAAAACAATTCCAGGTCTTTGTGCAAGAACCAAACTCAAGCCTCCATAGTGGAGACAGCCTCATATCTAGTTTCCAGACTAAATCAGATTACAGACCCAAAGTCGCTTGACTGAGGGGGCGGCTGGGAGCCTTTGAGGAAGGATTTTATAATTGTGGCTTCATAGGTATACCATAAATCTTCCCCCAAGCTTTCCCCAGAGAGAACTATGGTTATTTATCAGGGAGACTTTGCACTGGAGAAACAGAAATACTCAGGTCTTCCATGGTTATTAAGATAATGACTCTGAAATGATACTGATTTCCAGAAACCTGAAAAGCCTCCGTTATCGTTTTCAGAGTGAAGGCTAATGGAGGTTGCGTGAAAGATGGATTCTTGGTCTGACTTCTCACAGGAGCCCATCCTGTAGTTATTTCCTCAGTCCCAGAATGTGGGAAGTAGGATATAGCAGAATCATCACACTGTTTCCTTAACCCATGAGATAAGGCATTAAGGAAGGGCCAAGTAGGTTTAAACCACCCCCATTCTCTGACCCACATATTGAGTAAGATCTGTTGATTCCTACTACATTCCCATTTGACTCACCAGCTTGGCCAGTTGTTAAAGTCAAATGGGTCCTGGACAATGTTTCATTTTTTTTTATTTTATTTTATTTTTATTTATTTATTTAAGACGGGATTTCACCATGTTGTTCAGGCTGGCCTTGAACTCCCGACCTCAGGTGATCCACCCGCCTTGGCCTCCAAAGCGCGTGGATTACAGGCGTAAGTCACCATGCCCGGCCCACATTTTTTTGTTTTGTGTGTTGCTGTTGGTGTTGCACCTTAAAATCACCTGAAGATTTCTTTTTAAATGGTGATATCCAACTTCCACCCCCAGGTACTGTGATGTGCGTTTCCTAATGATTTTATTTTTGAGACAGGGTCTCCCTCTGTCACCCAGGCAGATGTACAGTAGCATAATCTCAGCTTGCTGCAATCTCTGCCTCCAGGCTCAATTGATCCTCCCACCTCAGCCTCTCAAGTAGCTGGGACCACAGGTGCGCACCACCACGCCTGGTTAATTTTTGCATTTTTAGTAGACAAGGGGTTTTGCCATGTTACCCAGGCTGGTCTCAAACTGCTGGGTTCAAGTGATCCTCCCGTCTCGGCCTCCCAAAGTGCTAGGACTGCAGGTGTAAGCCACTGTGCCCAGTCCTATTATGTTCTAATATTTTTTAGCAACAGGGTCTCACTCTGTTACCCAGGCTGGCATGATCATAGCTCACAGCAACCCCGAACTCCTGGGCTCAAGCGATCTTCCTCCCTCAGCCTCTCAAGTAGCTGGACCCACAGGCACATACCACCATGCTCTGCTAGTTTTTGTTTGTAAAGATGAGGTCTTGCTATGTCTCGCCTCAGCCTCCCAAAAGGCTTGGATTATAGGCATGAGCCACTGCACTCAGACACTGATTTAACAATACGGGATATAACTTGGACATATAGACTTTTTAAAACTTGAGTCTGATGTACAATAAAGTTCGGGAACCACTGGTCTTGGGGAATGACAATAAGTTATCACAGATTTAACAGATGAATATGTTAATCACAGCTGCAGTTCAAGATTGGTACCTTTATTAGAGAAAATCAACACAACTCCTAACACCTGGAATAAAGTTAGTGCCATGAAAAAAATGCAACCTTTTCCATTACAGTAAGAAAAATGAAAAGAACTTGTATTTTTATGTGGCAGGGACAACTGATTTTACTGTCTTACTGTCTTTCACAGTATAGTCGGGGGAGACTTTTATTTCTTGATTTTTGACAAGCCAGAATGAAATGTGACATGGATAACATTATGCTAATTGGAGCTGGAAAGCAGGAATTAGCAAGCACCTAGATGTCTTAGGAAGACATGTATGTACAAAAAGTTGGGAGGTAAATCCTGTGAAAGTTCAGGGGCCTTCCACATAGGCAAACCTCCTAAGGGTCTAGTGGTCTGAGGACATGGTATCTATTTTTAAAGGGAAGAAACAAGCTATCTAGGCACAATGGCTCACCTGCCTGGGAGGATTGCTCGCACCCAGGAGTTTAAGGCTGCAGTGAGCTACGATCATGTCACTACACTCCAGCCTGGGCGACAAAGTGAGACCTCATCTCTTAAACAAAGGCAGAGGGGAGAGGGAGACAAGATCCTGCACCTTGCACTGGCCACCATGCCGACAGAGGCAACAATGTTTGAAGAGGCCCTCTGAATTTGAGATAAAATATATTTGGGAATATTACCCTAACCTATTTACTGGTTAGCCCTTAAGACTGCCAATTGTTAGTGGAACCCAATGTAAGCCAGGGCTCTGCAGCAGATTCAGGATGCAGTGCTATAGCAAACAGAGATGCTGTATGGAGTCTATTCCAATAGAACAATCACATTGCAGACTCCTACAGCTTTGACATAAGGACATGCACACCTGTCAAAAACTTTTCTCCTCCCACCGAAGACAGAGTAGTCATCTTCTGTCATCCAGGCTGGAGTTTGGTGGGGCAATCACAGCTTACTGCAGCCTCAGCCTCCTGGGCTTAAGCAATCTTCCCACCCCAGCCTCCTGAGTAACTGGGACCAAAACACACCCCATCACAGCTGGCTGATTCTTAATTTTTTTGTAGAGATGATGTCTCATTATGTTGCCCAAGCTGGTCTTAAACTCCTGGGCTCAAGCGAACCCACACCTCGGCCTCCCAAAGTGCTGGGATTACAGGTGTAAGCCACGATACCCAGCCAATTCTGTATTTAGTCATCTTAAAAAAACACAACAGCAATGGTATAAAATAACTTTTATTTACATAATTTATATATGTATATATATATATAACTGCTTTCTTTAGAACAAGAAAATTTATGAATGACATGATATTGCTTTTTTTTTGTCAAAGACTTCTTCAAGCAAGATAGCAAACATGGTCACTTTTGTTTCAAATAACATGATGGTAAACAGTGGATATTAATATTTTTGTCATGCCTCAACCATTTACCAACAATTAGGTGTTCAAACCCTCATGTTGATCACTTGCTAAGACGTAAGTGTTCAGGAGAAAAAGTCAAGATAAAAACCTTTAATCATATCTCCTTTAAGATTTATAAAATAAATTCTTTGCAACATCTTATTTACATGAATCAGACCTAATACAGTTCTTTCTACCATATAAGGTAAATACACTGATTAGCTTTTCTCTTTTCCAAAATTATGTTTAAGGATATACCAATAGGATAATTTAGCTGGCTGACTTGATTCTCTAATACAACGAGTCCCTGTATTCTTTATATAGTAAGAAATTCTACCTTCCATAAAACTAGCTTATTATAGATTATAGAGAGACAGATAAAGTTAAAAATTAATATTATGCAAGGATAAATAATAGTTAATCATGGGAATCTAACTCCCAAGCTAACACTAAGAGAATGACATCTTCTCAGAATATGAATTTTAAAAACTTACAAAAACAGGGCATTAAAATAGCAATGTGATTTACTACCATGATTTCTGTGACATATTAATCATGAAATAAATGCCTACTTATAGACAATTTCCACTCAGAATCATATAGCCTTGTCTCAGACAAAATGTTAAGCTGCAAATTTCATTAAAAGTCAATAAGAAGAGCTCTAACAGCAGTAGTTTCAATAAATTAGCATTACTATTATACCTGCTGAGACATAATTCTCTTCTATTCAGGGATTTAAAAACTGGCCAACATTTTTTCAATATAAAAACATAATTATCTAGACTCTAAAATATCTTTCCAATTGAAATACTGATCATTACATAATACAATCAACACAGTTTTAACTTTTAGGCACAATTCATAACTTCAGTGACAAATAATTCATACATACAGACATCAGCACCTTAGGTAAGAAAATTTGCAGTAGGGGTCAAACTAAAAGGCCAATCCAGCCACAGGCCTTCATTCAAATACTGTCTATGGCTTCCTTCACACTGAAATTGCAGAGCTGAGCAGCTGCCAGAGAGACCACCTGGCCTGCATGCCCAAAATAGTTTACAGAAAGTTTCCAACTCCTGAGCTAATATATTATCAATCCAAGAGGTTTTTCAAATAAAATCAAAATAAATTTGCTGTTCAATCTGCTTGGGTAGATAATAGAATTACATGTGTAAATCATCAAATCTTGAAATTTAAAAAAACCTTAAATTTATATGGATAATAGCTAACTTCATAAAGTCTTATTTTCTGTTTTTAACATCATGATTACCTTCCGTGCTTAAAGATCTAAGTGTTTCTTTCTTTTCTTTTTTTTTTTTTTTTGAGACAGAGTTTCGCTCTTATTGCCCAGGCTGGAGTGCAATGGCGTAATCTTGGCTCACTGCAACCTCCGCCTCCCCGATTAAAGCGATTCTCCTGCTTTAGCCTCCCAAGTAGCTGGGATTACAGGAATGTGCCACCACACCTGGCTAATTTTGTATTTTTAGTAGTAGAGACGAGGTTTCTCCATATTGGTCAGGCTGGTATGGAACTCCCGACCTCAGGTGATCCGCCCGCCTCTGCCTCCCAAAGTGCTAGGATTACAGGCGTGAGCCACCACGCCCAGCCGATCTGTTTCTTGAGAATTTAACGGGAAAAAAACTATTAAGAAATTGGCTTTTAAAAAACTAATCTATGTCTCAGTGTGTATAGAGGAGATTGAGTTTTGTATGGAAATTTGTCTCATAAAAAGAGTTCCCTTACCGTCATGAAAATCCTGATTATCCAAGAAATAAGAAAAACAGAAAAATTCACAGTACAAAGTCAAGATACTAAACTGAGGGAAAAAAAGGTATTCAAAACACATAACTAGCCAACCATTTTTAGTTATATCATTTTAAATATCTTTAAAATTAAAGAGAAAGAAGAAAGAAACATAAATTTGTTAATGCCTTCTTTATCTACAATCTGAGGGTAAAAAGAGCTAAAATGAAATATGCTTTTAAATAAAAATTTAAAAATAAATAAGCTCTTTGATGTGTCATCTTTATAAATAATTATGTTTAAATACTAGTTTTTCAATTAGGACTAATGTTACATCACCATGAATTAGAAAAATATGTATTTTTCAGTCAGACAAATAGCTGATAATGGAAAAGTTTTTTAACATTTACCATACTAAACTGGAGTCTGACAATTTGTTTTCATATACGTATAGTCATGTGTCCCTTAACTATATGTTCTAAGAAATGCCTTGTTAGGTGACCATATGTTACAAACCTCTAACGTGTGTCACTATGCTGAACACTGTAGGCAGCTGTAACATAATAGTAAGCATCTGTGTATCTAAACATATCTAAACATAAAAAAGCAACGCACTGTGTTATGATGGCTATAATGTCACTAGGTGATAGGAATTTTTTATCTCCATTTTAATTGTATGGGACCACTGTCATATGTGTGGTCCATCACTGACTTAAACATCATTATGTGATACATGACTGTACTTAGAAGCAACTGAAAAGGCCTTCATCCTTCATCATCTCCCCCTGAAAATTAAAAAAAAAAAAAAATTCACAAAAGAAGTTGCTAAGTAAAAAAAAGAAAAAATAAACAAATAAAAATTAAAAAAAGAAAAAAGAAGTTGCTAAGTGTTAAATATGATACAATCAACCCCCAAAACTGCCTGCACTACAGTTCATACAGGGACATATAGCCACAACATTCCCAATTGTCCATGTGTGCTTAGCACAGGAAGAGTCAAAATGTAAACAAGAGTTATTTCTGTCTGAGAAAGCAGTCTTAATCGCTTGCTATTTGCAAAATGCTGAAACAATCAGAATGAAAGGAACCTCAGAAATGTTTTCCACTGATTATAAAAGCTTCAAATCAAGCTCATTAAATATTCAAAATCAACCTAAAAAAAAATAGACAGTGATGCTTTGCTCTAAATACTGTTTTGTTGATGTAATTGACTCTGGAAATCCTAGACTTAATTTTAAAAAGAAAAAGACAAAAGATTGTTTCATTCTGTTTCATCCACTTCAATGAAGATATCATTGAAGAAATATTCAGAGACTGTGGTTGGCTCCCCTTCAGGGGCCCACTTTTGGCCACTTTTATATCCTTTCAGTAAGGGCTGATCACAAGAAACCTAAAAAGGTAATAAAAATAAAGTAAAATAGAACTGTAATATAACATTTACATATATGTGTATGTGTGTATATACAGTAGTCTAAACTGATATGATCTGTTTGAAAAGCAATGTGGCAATAAATATTGAGCTTTACATATGTTCACAATCACCAACCTAAAAATTTCATTTCTATGCTGTCGTATTAAGTAAATAATCCTAAACATGGTAAGGGTTTTATGACAAAGATAACCTTTGTAGCATTAGTTATAATAAAATTGGAAGCAACTAAATATACAACACTAGATATAATTAGGTAAATTATAGTGTACCCATAATCCATTACTTTATCCTAATTTCCATGAAAAATTTTAATAAAGAAAAATATACTATGGTTAAATTTGTAATTAAATAATTAAAGTAAAAATACATTGACTAGTGGCATAAGAATAGACAGATCCATGAAACAAAACAGCACTCAAAGAAAATATATAAAGATACCTTATCAGAAATTAGCATACTCACAAATCTATAAATAAATGAAGATAGCATGGTATCGGCACAGGAATAACAGATGTATCAATGAAACAGAAGACTAGAAACAACCCCAATCTGTATGGAAATTTAGCATCGATAAAAGTGCTATTTCAAAAAAAGTTATTTGATTATTAAACAGATTATGTTGGACATCTATTTAATCATCTCAGGGAGAAAAAAAGTCAGACCTATACCTTACCAAAACAAATTCTAGATGGATCAAAAGATTTAAATGTAAAACTATTTATAAAAAACTCTAGTATAAAAATGCCATGGAAAAACACTTCTATAATTCTGGATGGGGGTAGGTGGGAAAGGGCATCTTTTTATTTTTATTTTTGAGACAAAGTCTGGCTCTGTGCCCAGACTGGTGTGTAGTGGCATGATCTCAGCTCACTACAACCTCCACGTCTCAGGTGTCAGCTCCCTGAGTAGCTGGGACTATGGGCACATGCCACCATGCCTGACTAAATTTTGTATTTTTGGTAGAGACAGGGTTTTGCCATGTTGGCCAGGCTGGTCTTGAACTCCTCACCTCAGGTGATCCACCCGCCTTGGCCTAAAAGTGCTGGGATTACAGGCATGAGCTACTGCACCTGGCTGGGAAGAGTGCCTTTTAAAACTACCTGAAAGCAGAAAGCTACAAAAGAAAAGATTGATAAATTAATCTATACAGAAATAAAAAATGTCTGCTTGGCAAAAACCGCCTTACACAAAATCAAAAGACAAACGACATACAGAGAAAAAAAAAAATTGCAATATTTATCACAAAGGCCTTTTACCCTGAATATAATAAGAACTTCTAGGTGGCTCACACCTGTAATTCCAGCACTTTGGAAGGCCAAGACGGGCAGATGGCTTGAGGCCAGCAGTTTGAGACCAGCCTGGCCAACATGACGAAATCCCATCTCTGCTAAAGATACAAAAATTAGCTGGGCATTGTGGCATGTATCTGTAATCTCAGCTACTTGAGAGTCTGAGACAGGAGAATCACTTGAACCCAGGAGACAGAGGTTGCACTGAGCCAAGATCACGCCACTGCACTCACTACAGCCTGGGTGACAGAGTAAATGAGACTCCGTCTGAAAAAAAAAAAAAAAAAAAAAAAAAAAAAAAAAACCCACAACTTTGGCAATGGTAAGCAAGACTGATAAAATCTTGGTCTCAGAAAACAATTCTAGTAAATAATATGAAATCTTTAAAAAAAGTTCAAAGATGTTAATTACAAAAGTACCCCCTTCAAAGGCTCATGCTATTCAATAAACGCTCACCAGCCTTTTCTTTGTTAAGATCTTAAGTCACCCCAATACTTTTACAAAGTCTTTGATATAGGTTTACAGTTTTTTCCATCCCAGTACTTGCCATTGGACAGCTTCAGGAGACACAGAAATGAAACATGTGAACAAATTCTAGCTTTATAGTTCCTTAAATTCTTGTGGTGTCAGCACTGCTTCCTTTTGCTTCCACAAATCAGAAGGGTCTCTGGATTAAAGGAATGGCTATTAAGTGTCTATTTATGGTTAGTTCAATGGCTCTGTACTAACCTAACTGCAACTTCCTGACTCAACACTTTTGCTTCTTCCATTATGGAGGAATACGACGGAGAAAAGGATGGGCTCTAAAATAATTTCTGACATCAAATAAAAATAACAAATTACTATGTTCTCCCTAGTTGAGTCTTATATCCAACCTATCTCATACAAACAATAAAATATAGTAGTTATCACATACCTTAGTTGCTGAACTGCTAATATTCTCAGATTGAGTATTAATAACACTTGGAGATGGAACTGGATCAGAGGACTCTCCATTTTTTTTCTGGCTTTCATTGACTGGATTGGATCTTTTAAATTTCTGTCTTAATGCAGGTATAAGAGGCTTTAGGCGTTTCTTATTATGAAACTGAGTAGGTTCATCAGACTCCAAACTATTCTTTGAACATATTAAAGACAAAAATCCCAGGGGTCTTCTGCCAGGTCTAGAAATACAAATGTAAATATATTCAAGAATATCCAGGAAGACACATTCTTAATACCTGCTTCTACTTCATGAGGGTAAGGTGGGAGGATTGCTTAAGGCCAAGAGCTCAAGAACAGCCTGGACAAAATGAGCAGGACCCCGTCTCTAGTTTTTTAAAAAAAACAGAAAAGCTAGCTAGGTGTGGTGGCACGTGTCTGTAGTCCTAGCTACTCAGAAAGGAAGCTGAGATGAGACGATCACTTGAGCCCAGGAATTAGAAGTTACAGTGAGCTGGCTAGGTGCGGGGGCTCATGCCTGTAATCCCAGCATTTTGGGAGGCAAGGCGGGCAGATCATGAGTTCAGGAGTTCGAGATCAGCTTGACCAACATGGTGAAACTCCGTCTCTGCTAAAAATACAAAAATTAGCTGGGTGTGGTGGTGCCTGCCTGTAATCCCAGCTACTCAGGAGGCTGAGGCAGGAGAATTTCCTGAACCAGGAAGTGGAGGTTGTGGTGAGCCAAGATCAGACCATTGCATCCCAGCCTAGGTGACAGAGCAAGACTCCATCTCAAAAAAAAAAAAAAAAAAAAAAAAAAAAAGAAGACGTTACAGTGTGTTATGGTCTACCACTGCATTTCAGCCTGGGGAACCTCAGGCAACGTCAAATAATCTTTGTCTGTTTTCTATCTAAAATAGACACAGTCTCAGCACTTACATTTAAGCTCTCATTGTACAGAATGTATATCTGAAATATTATTGTATTCTTTGGCCAAAACTTTCTTTTACCTTACTGAGGAGTATGTTTATTAAACCTCAAGAGTGAGACTTTGACTCAAAACAAAGGAATCCAAAACAAAACCCCCCAAACCATCTTCTTTCCATTAATGCTAAATTGGCATACTCATACCAGTATGCCATGACATATATATATATATTTTTTTTTTTTTAAGACGGGGTTTCACCATGTTGGTCAGGCTGGTCTTGAACTCCTAACCTCAGGTGATCCGCCCGCCTTGGCCTCCAAAGTGCTTGGATTACAGGCGTGAGCCACCGCGCCCGACCCACCATGACATATATTTGTGACAAAGGTCAATGCTTACTCCAGAGCGGTGCTTCCCAAGCTTAAAAGGACATTCAAATCACTGGGGATCTTATTAAAATAAAGATTCTGACAGTTGGTAGTGGGTATGGCCTGAATCCTGCATTTGAACAAGTTCTCAGATGATGTCCATACTGCTGGTGCAAGGAATACACTGAGTAGCAAAGCTGTGGAACAGTGGCCAGCACAGCATGCTCTCCAGGCCACATGCAGCCCCCAACCTGATTCTGTGAGTACGTTCTACTGGCACACAGCTATGTTCATCTGTTTACATATGGTCTATGGTTGTTTTTGTGCTGTAACTGCTGAGATGAATAGTTAAGAGGCACCATATGGCTCACAAAGCCTAAAATATGTACAAATGCCATTCTACGAAAAGTGTGCTGACCTCTGCTCTAGAACACAGCTTCTTAACCAGTTTTAATCCAAACTCTATTGACGTTTCCCTCATTTGATTTTTTTTCTTTTTTCAGAAATGGGTCTGGCTATGTTGCCCAGGCTGGAGTACAGTGGCTATGCACAGGCACAATCATAGCTCACTGCAACCTCAAACTCCTGACCTCAAGAGATCTTCCGGCCTCAGCCTCCTGAGTAGTTGGGATTATGGGCATGTGCCACTGTACTTGGGCCACATTCTATTTTCAGCACATCTCTAAGGCCAGAAAAGATACTGCTGGGCTTTACTTTCTATAACTTAGATAACAAAAACAATAGATCTATCAAGTATGTCTTTTAAGCTACATGTGTCCTTCCCCCTACTCCTTCTCCTTAGTGGAGACCAGTGTATATTCCCCCACATCCTTCAATTCAGCAATACCACATTCATCTTTTGGATGCTGCTGACGAGCCAATTACTGATAACCATTGCTTCTAGAATATGAGGAAAACGGGACAGAAGTTGGCTTTGGGCTTAAATTCCAACACTTATTCTTATAGGGAGAAAGCCATGGTTTACCTCTTTGGTTTGCCACAAGGGAGAAAAATGACACATTATTTGAGACTTCAATAAAACAACCCTATCATAGCAGCCCTATGTCTCATACCATATAGATGTGCATTAGTAGCTACTGTACATGGTAGAATATGTAATGATCAAAATAACCATGGACAATCTGAAAAAGTAAGTGTACAAAATATTCTAAACATTTTCTATCTAAAAAAGTTTTAGCACTTAAATTTAAGCTCTTAGTGTACAAACTGTGTATCTGCAATATTACTGTATTTCCTTGGCTGAAACTTCTTCCTTTACTGATGGAGGAATATGTTTATTAAACACCATCCTTAGCACTGGATCTAATCTTTATATATACAGTTATCTGTTCTGTATAGATTATATCTATTACGACAGAGAAACATTTATTAAAGATTTTTTCATGATACCTGGATAGTGGGGCTTTTGTAGATGATGTTTTATCCATTTGCTCAGACTTAGGAGCAGCATCAGTTCTTTCTTCCTTATCAGACACAATCATTTCATTCTGAGGTAACTGAGGCACATTCTTGTCTATGCATGTTTCAGCAGATCCAGATCCTATACTCTGAAAAGCTGGTTCAACTTGCTCTTTTTGATATTCTAGAGTTGTCAGTGTGCTTCCTGAGGTAGGAAAAATATCTTGTCCCTTGGGAGACTCCCCTTCAAAAGAGATGGCAAGTTGAAAAAGGATACTGAAGTTAATACATTCCATGTAACCCCAGCATTTGAAAAAAAAAAAAAAAATGCATGGTATTCTATAAGAAACCTACTCTAATAACAGTAAGTTAAATTATAATTAGTGGTTACTCAGATTATTAAGAATATTATAATTGGTTAAAAGATATGCTAACAGCATCTGCACTCAAAAACAAAATAGTTATATCAATATATTTTGGCCTAGAAAATCTTTTCCCAGAAATATTTCTTCAGCAATCAAAATGGACAAGTGATCACTCTCTAAAAAATCTAAGGTTCATTAAAATTAAGCAGCTAAACCAATCCAAAATATAGGTGGTAACTTGGATGTCTGTGGTCTCCTGAAAAGTAAAACCTACAGACTCTCAAATACTCAAGTTTAGCTAAAGAGCTCTCTTTCCTTAACTAAATAGTAGACAAAAGCCAAAGTAGCCAAAAATTAGGACAAAATAACTAAAGTGCCTTGTTCTCAAAGAGTTTAGCTCTATGAAGTGAGAATTAAGTTGATAAGTACACTTGCTAAAAGAAATAAGCCAATTAAAGATAGCACACAACAAATTCACTAATACTTCACCGTATTGTAGTTTGCTTAATGCTTTTATTGGAGAGCAGATGGATGGAAGCAATCTTAGAACATCTCTCGAGGCTGGAAACTGTAACCATACTACAGTTTCACAGTCAAAGTTGGGACAATTAAGTCTAAGATTGTGTTAACATAATAAGTGGTTTCTTATTTTGTTTTGTTTTTTTAAAAGACAGAGTCTCTCTCTATTGCCCTGGCTGGAGTGCAGTGGCATGATCTCGGCTCACTGCAGCCTCTGCCTTCCAGGTTCAAGTGATTCTCCTGCTTCAGCCTGCCAAGTAGCTGGGATTACAGGTGCCTGCCACAACGCCTAGCTAATTTTTGTATTTTTAGTAGAGTCAGGGTTTCACCATGTTGGCCAGGCTGGTTTCAAACTGCTGACCTCAGGTGATTCACCTGCCTCTGCCTCCCAAAGTGTTGGGATTACAGGCGTGAGCCACTGAGCCTGGCCAAGTGTGGTTTTTTTCTTTGTTTTTAAGACAGTCTTGCTCTGTTGCCCAGGCTAGAGTACAATGATGTGATCGCGGCTTGCTGCAATCTCCATCTCTCAGGTTCAAGCAATTCTCCTGCCTCAGCCTCCCAAGCAGCTGGGATTGCAGGCACCTACCACCACGCCTGGCTAATTTTTGTATTTTCGGTAGTGATGGGGTTTCGCCTTGTTGGCCAGGCTGGTCTTGAACTCCTGACCTCAGGTGATCCACCCACCTCGGCCTCCCAAAGTATCACGCCTGGGATTACAGGCGTGAGCCACCACGCCTGGCCCATTATAAAGTGTCTTTAAAAACCAGAACCATAATAGGTTATCAAACTCTTCTATCTTGTAACTCTACAAGATGCCATCAACAACATTTTTATTCTTGAGTGCCACTGCATTGGCAAAGCAATGGCTATAGGTGTGAATGATAAGCCTAAGTTTGAGAGAAAAGGGAAATAAAATAAACAAAAAATAAAGAGTTGTACAAAACACAGGATAAATGTGACTGCTGGCTTTAGTTATGAGGGAAATAGACCTTAAGTGGTTTAATACCCCACAGAAATTTTAGATTCCTATAAAAATATAAGACTCTAAGATCTTTTCAGCCTCCATAGGTGGCTTAAGCCTGAAAAGATCTCTAAAACTAAACTAATTTTCAGGGTAAAGAATCTACTACAAGTGCCATTATAGACCACGGGTGGTGGCTCATGCTTATAATAATTCCAGCACCTTGGCTGGCTGAGGCAGGCAGACTGCTTGAGGCCAGGAGTTCAAGACCAGCCTGGGCAACGTGGTGAAAGCCCATCTCTACAAAAAATACATTCAAGACTAGCCTGGGCAACATGGCAAAACCCTGTCTCTACAAAAAATACAAAAATTAGCTGGGCATAGTGGTGCATGCCTATAGTCCTGGCTAGTTAGGAGGCTGAGGTGGTAGGATTACTTGAGCCTGGGAGGTGGAGTCTGCAGTGAGCTGTGATTGTGCCAGTGCACTCCAGCCTGGGTGACAGACTGAAATCCTGTCTCAGGGAAACAAACAAACAAAAAACCCATTACTCAGCTAACTCCTAAAACGTAGTTGTTGAGTTTATGTAGAAAATCCTTGTAGCTGCATAGTCTTCAACGGATGACAGGATGAAAAGAGCTGCTTCTGCCTCCCAAACTGCCAAATCCAAGGCCTTTGCAGAAAAGAAGTGCTGATAATAAAAGTACTACTCTTAGAGAAAAGTAATACTCAGCTTCAATCTCATATTTGAACAAGGTACATCCCAAATAATCAGGAGTTTAGAAAACATAGTATGTTAAAATGTATTTCAATTACCTGTTTCCTCAACAACATTTGTTAACTCCTTTGAGTGCACCTGTTTTAAGAAAATTTACAAAAAAATTTAGAAATCTATTTATCAAGTAAAACTGAAATTAATTTTATTTCCTTTTTTCTTTAAGAAAGCATGTATCCCCCAAAATGCTCTAACAGAAACTCTACTAAACATTTATGGCAAAAATATTGCTACTATTTAAAGTGTTCCAGAGCCCACTGGAAGAGAGAAAGCTGCCAAATGCCTTTTATAATCAGTCTCAATATCAGTGCAAAAGTATCAAAGAAATAGTACAAGTAGCACTTCAAAAGACTACATCACAATCAAGTAGAACTTGTTTCAAGAATGCAAAGATGATCTGACATTATGAAATCTAATACAAACCAACAGCTCTGAGGAGAAAAATCATCTGTATTTACAGAAAAGGCATCCAATAATGTTCATTCTTGAAAAAAAAACTTATAAAATGGAATAGACATTCTCTTAACACTATAAAATATAACTATTGCAATCTAAAAGCTAGCATCCTACATAGTATACACTGGAAGTTCTCCTATTAAAATCAGAAATAACAAAAAAAGATATGCACTATTGGGACCACTTTTTAACATTATTTTTGAGTTATATTACCCAATAGAATTACAAAAGAAAAAAACTAGAGCTATAAAAAGTGGAAGTGGCCAGGAGCAGTGGCTCACACCTGTAATCCCAGCACTTTGGGAGGCTGAGGAGGACGGATCACCTGAAGTTAGGAGTTCGAGACCAGCCTGACCAAGATGGCGAAACTCCATCTCTACTAAAAATACAAAATTAGCTGGGCATGGTGGCACATGCTTGTAATCCCAGCTACTCAGGAGGCTGAGGCAGGAGAATCACTTGAACCCAAGAGGCAGAAGTTGTGGTGAGCCAAGATTAAGTCACTGCACTCTAGCCTGGGCAACAAGAGTGAATCTCCATCTCAGAAAAAAAAAATATATAGAAAAATTAAAATTATATTTGCAGATGATACATCTGTTTACCTACAAACCCAAGAGAATCAACTGAAAAGCTACTGCATACAATGAGGGAACTCAGTAAGCTCTCTAAACAGAAAAGAACTCAATGATAATGGCAACAGAAAAGATAAAACTCATAGGGATAACCTATAAGAAATATGTAAGATCTAGATGAAGAAGAGTTTAATATAAAATAGAAAGACACAAAACATGACTTAAACAAATGGATAGACATACCATGTTTTTGAATAGGAAGATTCAATATTATAATTATGGTGTCGATTTTCTCTAAATTAATCTGTCAAGTTAATGATTCTAATATAAATACAAGAGCTAAACAAGTTAATTCTAAAATTCATATTAATTTTAGAACATATAAGCAATGATGAGAAACTTGAAAAAAGAAGAAAATTGTGCAGGTTTGGGAGAGACACTATCCGTGTAAGATACCAAAGTGCATTATAAAGCTACAAATTCAAACAGTATGATTCTAGCCCCAGAACAAATAGATGAATCAATGTAAAGGAAAAGGAAGTTTAGGAATATATATTTAAAAAAAAAAAAAAAAAAAAGGTTTACTATCTTATTGATAAAAGTAGAATTTCCTATCAGTGGAAACGATGAATTACTCAGTAAATGGTGAAAGTCATATAAAGAAAATTAACTTGGCCTTATTCTTTATACCAAAACAAATTCTCAACAAATTAGTAATATTAACAATTATTAACTAGAAAATTTAAGTCTCAGACGACTTCCAGTATGTAACATAATCTCCAGAAGCCATACACAAAAAGACTGATAAATCTGATTACAGAAAATAAAAAATGTCTTCTATCTGAATACAGTGTGTGTGCATTCTAGAATTTTGTACAGGCGGAGCATCCCAAAGCTGAAAATCTGAAATGCTCGATAAATCTAAACTTTTTGAGTGCTGACAAGACATTCAAAGGAAATGCTCACTGAAGCATTTCAGACTTTAGCTTTTCAGGTTTGGGATGTGGAACTGGGAAGTATAACACAAGTATAATGCAATTATCCCCAAATAAAATAAAAAAAAATCTGAAATTGGAAACACTTCTGGTTCGAAGCATTTCAGATAAACGATACTCAAATGGCAAAAGCAATTTTTAAAAAATTGTGGCTGGGCACGATGGCTCACGCCTGTAATCCCAGCACTTTGGGAGGCCGAGGCGGGTGGATCACCTGACGTCAGGAGTTCAAGACCAGACTGGCCAACATGGTGAAACCCTGTCTCTACTAAAAAACACAAAAGGGCTGGGCGCCGTGGCTCACACCTGTAATCCCAGCACTTTGGGAGGCCGAGGTGGGTGGATCACGAGGTCAAGAGATCGAGACCATCCTGATGAACATGGTGAAATCCTGTCTCTACTAAAAATACAAAAAATCAGCTGGGCATGGTGGTGCATGCCTGTAATTCCAGCTACTCAGGAGGCTGAGGCAGAAGAATTGCCTGAACCCGGGAGGCGGAGGTTGCAGTGAGCCAAGATCGCGCCATTCACTCCAGCCTGGGTAACAAGAGTGAAACTCCGTCTCAAACAAACAAAAAAAAAAACCCACAAAAATTAGCTGGGCATGGTGGCTCGTGCCTGTGATCCCAGCTACTTAGGGGGCTGAGGTAGGAGAATTGCTTGAACTGGGACACAGGAGGCAGAGGCTGCAGTGAGCTGAGATCTCACCACTGCACTCCAGCCTGGGCTACAGAGCAAGACTCCATCTCAAAAAACAAAAAATTGTTAAAATTCTAGAAACAAAATTTAGAAAATAAAAATCAAAAATAAGCCCAATAGACATTATACTTTTCTTACATAATCACACCATTATATATCTATCATTTTTTAAATGGCATATCAAAATCTGGTGACCTAGTTTTATATTTAGTAAAGTACCATAATCTTTTGTTCGTGTCATTAAAGATACTTTTAAAACAAAACAAAATAATGTCTGCATGGAATGCTGACAAATTATTGAAACTGGTACATGGGGGCACATTATACCCACTCTATCTTTTAATATGTCTTGAAATGTTCATATAGAAAGTTATTCCAAAAGTTCTGCATGAGAAAACAACAAAGAAAGTAGAGTCAAGAGACAAATGACAAGCTGGGAAAAAAGATTCACACCTCATTACCACACACATATATAACAGAGTTCTTCCAGTTCTATAAGAAAAAGATCAATAATCTCACTGAAAACTGAGTTTAAAAAAAAAAGTTCATAGAAAAGGAAATACACATGGCTCTTAGCATATGAAAAGATGTTCAATCTTAGAAGAGAAACTATAAACCTATTCTGGGATATATCATTTTTTTACTTAACAAATATATTAAAATACACTTGCTCTTTGTCAACTGTTACTCAAGAACTATTGGTTTTTAGCTTTCTCTTTAAGAACACGGATTTTAAATGGACTTTTCCATAGTGTAGTTACAAACTGTTGATGAGTACAAAAACAGAGGGTACTAGGAAACCTACACCATAATGGCTGGTGATTGAATCTGCATGGTCTGGCCAGACTTCCCTGAGGCAATAATGACTGAACTAAAGAAGTCTGTATGTTTTTCAAGGGAATGTTTCACACAGAAGGGGCATCAAATGACATGCCCTGGGACATTTAAGGAATTGAAAGATGGCCAGTGAGGCCAGAAAGTGAGGGAGAAGCTGGCACAAAATGAAGAGACAAAAATCAGCAAGCTGTGGGTTTAGTCCTAAAAGCAATGGGTAGCTTCAAGCATGATGATGATGATATTAGTATTATCATTTTACACATTAGGAAACCTGATCAGAGAGAGAGGGGTGAAGTATCTTGCCTAAGGTGCTACAACTACTAGGTGGTAGAGCCAAGATCTAGACATATATAATGCTTCTTGTCTTATTTTTAGCCACAACACAGAGCTGGGAATAAATTTCTTGATTACTGTCCATCAATGTCCATCTACCATTGGTTAAAAGTGATAATCCAAAACCAGTTTTACTTGAATAACTTATGATAAGTGTCAGAACTATCTTTACGTGTATCTAGAAGTTTAAAGAAAATAGAGGGAAAAATAGAAATAGATCTGTTGCAATATGGTCATCTATTATTTACTTAATGATTCTATCTTACCTCAGAAGTATATTCTTGGCAATCATCTCTTAAAGTGAGCAAACATTTTTTGGCAGGAGGAATGTGGTCATTTTCATCAAGCCTGCAATGAAATCTCTTCCTGGATACAAGATCCAAATTATCAGAAGGCTTTTTAGAATCATCTCTTCCAGAAATAGATACACCCATGGCATCCTGACCAACTGAAGTTGCTGGTAAACAAATACTGCATAGAAAAGAAATACATACTAAATCTCTGAATCAGAAGTTATTTTTTTTTTCATGATCCTAGAAATCCTTCCAATAATAAAGTTAAAGGCTGAGGTATTTCAATGAAAATTCCAAAAAGCTCCAAACTAACTAACGGATACATGGCCATGGCCATCAAAATGCTATTAACAGTTCTGGGCTCCATTCATACTTAAAGGGTCATAACTTAAATTCTGCAATACTGAATTAAATCTGAGTATTTAATAGTATTTTCCCTGATTGTAAAGTTAAACTTTTAATCTAGTCCAGGTTCAGTGGCTCACACCTGAATCTCAGCACTTTGGGAGGCCAAGGTGGGTGAATTATCTGAGGTCAGGAGTTTGAGACCAGCCTAATCAACACAGTGAAATCCTGTCTCTACTAAAAATACAAAAAGTTAGCCAGGTGTGGTGGCACACACCTATAGTCCCAGCTACTTGGGAGGCTTTGCCTCAAGAATCGCTTGAAACTGGGAGATGGAAGTTGCAGTGAGCTAAGATCCCTCCACTATACTCTAGCCTGGGCAAGAGTGAGACTGTCTCCCCTCCCCCCACCCCCCAAAAAAGGTAAAAGGCTTCAATTTCTAATGTTACACGATACACAATTATCTTAATTAATGGTGGTTAAGATACAACTTAACACTTCCAAATAAAGAATTAAAATAAGAGTATCAAGAATACCCAGGCACAGTGGCTCATGACTATACTCTCAGCACTTTGGGAGGCCAAAGTGGGAGGAATGCATAAGGCCAGGAGTTCCAGACTAGCCTGGGTACCAGAGCAAGACTCCACCTCTGCAAAAAAAAAAATAATTTTTAAAAAATTAGCCAAGCATAGTGGTGTGCACCTGTAGCTGAAAAGCTACTTGAAAGGCTGAGGCAGGAAGAGCTCTTATTTTTTTCTCACTCTATTGCCCAGGCTGGAGTGCAGTGGCACAATCCCGGCTCACTGCAACCTCCACCTCCAGGGTTCAAGTGGTTCTCCTGCTTCAGCCTCCCGAGTAGCTGGGATCACAGGCACGAGCCACCATGCCCAGCTAATTTTTGCATTTGTAGTAGAGATGGGACTTCACCACATTGGCCAGGCTGGTCCTCAACTCCTGACCTCAGGTGATCTGCCCACCTCGGCCTCCCAAAGTGCTGGGATAACAGGCATGAGCCACCATGCCCAGCCAGGAGGATATCCTGAGCCCAGAAGTTTCAGAATGCAGTGAACTATGACAGCACCACCACACTCTAGGCTGGCCACCAAAGGCAAGTATCTTAAAAAATACACACACACACACCCCACATACATATATATATATATATATATATATATAGATATATTAATTTTATATATATATATTTTTTTTTTTTTTTTTTTTTTTTTTTTTTGAGACGGAGTTTCGCTCTTGTTACCCAGGCTGGAGTGCAATGGTGCGATCTCGGCTCACTGCAACCTCCGCCTCCCGGGTTCAGGCAATTCTCCTGCCTCAGCCTCCCGAGTAGCTGGGATTACAGGCACGTGCCACCATGCCCAGCTGATTTTTTGTATTTTTAGTAGAGACGGGGTTTCACCATGTTGACCAGGATGGTCTCGATCTCTTGACCTCGTGATCCACCCGCCTTGGCCCCCCAAAGTGCTGGGATTACAGGCTTGAGCCACCGCGCCCGGCCATATATTTTTATATTATATAAAAAACATCTCTATTTTACCATTATCACTGTTTTATTTTCACAACTTTCTGTGAATGTGTATTTCACAGTTTCATATGTATGTATCTATACAAAGTAACCACACTTTTAACAGGTATCATTTTATGATCCAGACTATTAATTTTTTTAGCTTTCAAAGTAACTTAAAATAATAAACAAGTTTCATACAAAACTAACATATGGAACATTTAAATGGCATCTCTATCAGATAAAAAAATCTACCACATTACATTTCTTCTCTAACTTACCACATAAATGCTAAATAAGATATCCACAACAATAACTAATATTGGTGAATGGTTTGTTCAACCAATACTATTTAATAAATAAATCACTTTTCCTCCTAGCAAAAACAGTTTCACTCATTCATTACCTCACATCACCCCTTTCTTCAGTATTCATTGATTTGACCAATATGGGAGCTGGCAGTAAAGGGTTTGGCATTAACTGTGCAGCGGCATCAGTAAATTCTTCTACTGCATTGGTTGGGATTTCCACCAGAGTTAAAATAAATGCTTGTTCATCTTCTCCATCTTGAGATATATTAGCAACTAGATTCACTATCAAAGTTTAAAAGTTAGTAATCAAAAAGCTCAACTCTGAAATAACAGAATATCATTAATTCATCTCATTTCTAAAAAGACAGTCTCAGGACAACTTATTAAGACTAAATAAATGCTCCTCACCCAAACCCCCCACCAGCCTAAAGCAGAAGAAGTAATTTCCTTCCTTTTTTTTTTTTTTTTAAAAGGAGACAAAAGTCTCGCTCTGTTGCCCAGGTTGGAGTGCAGTGGCACAATCTCAGCTCATTGCAACCTCTGCCTCCTGGGTTCAAGTGATTCTTTTTTTTTTAAATTGCATTTTAGGTTTTGGGGTACATGTGAAGAACATGTAAGACTGTTGCATAGGTACACATGTGGCAGTGTGGTTTGCTGCCTTCCTCCTCATCACCTATATCTGGCATTTCTCCCCATGTTATCCCTCCCCAACCTCCCCACCTCCCACTGTCCCTCCCCTAGTTCCCCCCCACAGGCCCCAGTGTGTGATGCTCCCCTCCCTGTGTCCATGTGTTCTCATTGTTCAACACCCGCCTATAAGTGAGAACATGCAGTGTTTGATTATCCGTTCTTGTGTCAGTTTGCTGAGAATGATGGTTTCCAGGTTCATCCATGTCCCTACAAAGGACACAAACTCATCGTTTTTTATGCCTACACAGTATTGTGCCTCAGCCTCCCAAGAAGCTGGGATTACAGGTGTACGCCACCACGTCTGGCTAGTTTTTGTATTTTTAGTAGGGGTGGAGTTTTTAGTAGTATAGAGTTTTGCCATGTTGGCCAGGGTGGTCTCGAACTCCTGGCTTCAAGTATCTGCCCACCTCAGCCTCCCAAAGTACTGGGATTAAAGGAGTGAGCCACCATGCCTGGGCCAAGAAGTAATTTCGTAAAGGATAAAGATGATATACTATGGAGAAGATTTATGTCTTTAAGAAACAAAACCAATATAAAAAATACTTCAAAGTGTTTTTATAAAAGTTTTTAAATTCAAGGCCAGCATAGACTAAAATAAAACTGTTTTGTGTTTTTCCATAGTTAAATAAGGGGTAAAAATCATACAATTAGGTTCTATGACACGTCACTGAAGCGTATTATCATACCTGTTAGGTCTTGAGGATTGATTATATTCTCTTGTTGGACTTCTGGAATACTTGCTGGTGTATACTGCCATAAAAAATTAAAACGAAAGAGTGAAGTTGGCCATATCTTAGATTTGAAAAGTTTTCCTGTCAATATGATATACTGAAGAGATTAACTCAACAACATCTAACCATATATAGTTTTCAAGGGTTTGAAGCTTTAGACTGTTCTAATAAACTTCTGACTCATTTAAATAAATATAAATACGAGGAATCCTAACTAAAGTGTTAAATATGTGCATTTTATGAAATGATTTTTGAAGTGACAGGATAGGGAGACTCAAACCACACAATTTTTTCTCTACTCCCATCACACCAGCCATTGTACTATTAGTAGGTGACACATGAATAGAGCCAAACTGCTTTCCCTGCATCCAGTATGGTTCCCTCCAATCTGTTTTCCAAAAAACTGCAAACATTGTTTTTCTAAAATGCAATCCTGACTGTAATTCTCTACTGCTTAAAATCTCTCAGCTCACTACAACCTCGGCCTCCTGTGCTCAAGCAATCCTCCCACCTCAACCTCTTGAGTAGTGGGGAGTACAGGTGCACGCCACCACACCTGGCTAATTTTTTTGTATTTTTGGGGAGATGAGATGAGGTTTTGCCATGTTGCCCAGGCTGGTCTCCAACTCCTGGGCTTAAGTGATCCACCCACCTGGGCCTCCCAAAGTGCTGGGATTACAGGTGTAAGACACTATGCCTGGCTTCTACCGCTTAAAATCTTAAAACTTGGCTGGGCGCGATGGCTCACGCCTGTAATTCCAGCACTTTGGGAGGCCAAGGCGAGTGGATCATGAGGTCAAGAGATCGAGACCATCCTGGCCAACACAGTGAAACCCCATCTCTACTAAAAATATAAAAATTAGCTGGGCATGGTGGCACACGTCTCTAGTCCCAGCTACTCGGGAGGCTGAGGCAGGAGAATCACTTGAACCAGGGAGGCAGAGGTTGCAGTGAGCTGAGATTGCACCAGTGCACTCCAGTCTGGGTGACAGAGTGAGACTCCAACTCCAAAAAAAAAAAAAAAAAAAAAAAAAAAAAACTTAAAACTTTCATTTTGCAACAAACAATGTCAATAATTGATTAACGCAAGAATCATCGATGGATATTAAAACTATAGGGTGACAGCTTGCTGGGTTGGTCTCATCTGACAAATTACTAATACACAGTGAAAAAGATGCCATTATAATGAAGAAATCTGGCAGGTACCATTCTAGCCAAGTGATCAGTGAGCATCACCAATAATGGGACAAAATGACACTATGTATCTCCTGATGTGATGTAAATGGAAAAATATGTCATCACCTATATAGTAATTTCGCCCTAAAATATTTAAGTTGAATCTAGTAATGAGGAAACAATTTAAAAAAAGAAATCCAGACTGTAGGCCAGCCTAGACTGGTCTAAACTTCTCTCGTTTTTTTCTCTTTTGTGAACAAAAAGACAGAAAAAGCACTCTAGATTAAAGCAAAATAAGGAGAAATAATAATCAATGCAATGTGAAAGCTCCAATTGGATCCTGAATTTAAGAAAAAAAGAAGCTGGCCAGTTGCGGTGGCACACACCTGTAAGCCCACCACTTTGAGAGGCTGAGGTGGGCAGATTATTTGAGGCCAGAAGCTCAAGACCAGCCTGGACAACATGGTGAAACCCCATCTCTACTAAAAATATTATACAAACAAATTAGTCAGGTGTGATGGTGCACACCTTTAATCCCAGCTACTTAGGAGGCTCAGGCATAAGAATCGCTTGAACCTGACAGGTGGAGGTTGCAGTGAGCCAAGATTGTGCCACTGCACTCTAGCCTGGGTGACAGAGTAAGACTCTGTCTCAAAAAGAAAAGAAAAAAGCTATAATAGACAAGATTGGTACAACTAGGGAAATTGGAATAGGAAACTGTGTATTACACATTGTTGAGTGTGACAACAGTACTTGTCCTTTCTCTGTAAGAGAACTTTCTTGTCCTTATTAGATACAAGATGAGGTATTTATGGGCTCAACTTACTTTCAAACGATTCCGTTTTATTTATTTATTTATTTATTTATTTTTGAGACAGAGTCTTGCTCTGTTGCCCAAGGCTGGAGTGTAATGGTGCAATCATGGCTCACTGCAACCTGCACCTCCTGGTTGCAAGCAATTCTCACATCTCAGCCTCCCAAGTAGCTGGGTAAACAGGTGCATGCCACCACACCTGGCTAATTTTTGTATTTTTGTAGAGATGGAGTTTCACCTTGCTTGCCAGGCTGTTCTTGAACTCCTGACCTCAGGTGATCTACCGACCTCAGCTTCCCAAAGTGCTGGGATTACAGACGTGAGCCACCCCACCGAGCCAAGTATCTATCTATACAGATGGAGAGCAAGACAGAGTAAAAACACAAATGAGGCAAAGTATTAACGATTAATGAATCAAAGGGAAGTGTATAGGAGAACTCTTTAAGATTTTTGTAACTTTTCTCTAAGTTCAAAATTATTTCAAATTAAAAAGTAAAAATAAAAAGTCAGGGTGGGGTGAGGAATCTTGTAACTTCGGATGTAACCAAACTCCTTAGCAAGTAATAAAAATCCTTTTATGATCTGTCTGCAGGCTACCTTTCTAACTTCATCTCTAATCACTTCATTAATATTCCACTCACACGATTACATGCTGTTTCATACTGGTTTGTTTTTGGAGACAGGGTCTCACTCTGTCTCCCAGCCTGGAGTGCGTGGCAACCACGGCTTACTGCAGCCTCTACCTCCCAGGCGGAAGTGATCCTCCCACATCAGCCTGCTGAGTAGCTGGGGCTACAGGCACATGCCAGCATGCCTGGCTTTTATTTTTATTTTTTCAAGGCATTATAGGTGTGAGCCACTGACCCAGTCCACACCTGTTCTTTACACATGTTCCTTTCCCTTTAACTGGATAATGTATGCATGTTCTTCAAGTCTAAGGCTTCTCTCACCTGGGGAACTTTTTATTGAACTGTTCACGTATTGGTTATATGACTGCATACATTTATAAAAACCTGAAGAATTGTACACTAAAAAAGGTAAAGTTACCCGGTTGCAGTGGCTCACAACTGTAATCCCAGCACTTTGGGAGGCCAAGGCAGGCGGATCACTTGAAGCCAGGAGTTTAAGATCGGCCTGGCCATTAAGGCGAACCCTGTCTCTACTAAAAAAACAAAACCCAGCTGGCTATGGTGGTGCATGCCTGTAGTCCAAGCTACTTGGGAGGCTAAGGCAGGATAGTCTGCTGAACCTGGGAGGCAGAGGTTGCAGTGAGCTGAGATCATACCACTGCACTCCAGCCTGGGCAACAGGATATTAATTAAAACAAATTAAAAATGAAAATAAAAGGGGTGAAGTTTATTGTATGTAAATTATATCTTATTTTTTTTAATGGAGGAAAACACCTTGCTATCCCTTATTATACTGTACATTCTTTTACCTCTGGCACAGGAAGTGTAAGTACACTGCCTCCTTTAGGGTCCTTTATCTGGGGCTCTTCAACAGAATTTTCACCAAGACCCCTATCCAAACCAAGTGTGCGGGGTCCTGTCTCAGAGGAAGCAATTGGAGCAACTGACAACATGTGAACCTCTTGAGAGCTCTCTTCTTGATTTTCATTTCTGAAAGACAGTATAGTGTGTCATTTGAAATCAGGCAAAACATGGAAGTATTTTTAGAGCTAGGTGTGTAAAAGATCATGTAATTCAATGGTTTTCAAACTTTTAAAACATATTTAATGCAACAAAACTTCTTTTTCAAATTCTTACAGCCACAACTTAAGGGCTACAGATGAAACAATATAAAGTGAATCTCAGAATCTCTTCCCTCTTTTACCTTTCGGTTAGGTTTACTTCTTGAGGAATACCGGTCCCTTTGATACCATGTACACATGCCAATTTGCTCTGCGCCTTATTCTCTGCTGTTGTAACTGGTCCAAGGTTTTTATCTTCCAATTCTGTTGCTTTGGAAGCATTTTTCTCTGTTTCTTAAACAAAAAGCACACTTAAGATATAGACCAAAATAATACAGCTAAAATCCCTATATTAGAAACATATTTCATCTTAAAAGGAAGAACCCTATATAGTGACTCTTCCAAACTTCTCTTAATCCACAAATCAGGCTTATACCCATGGCAGAAAGTTCTGGCTAACAGATTTTTGAATAGTAAAACAGATGACTAATAAATCCTGCTCTGCAAATATTTCACTCCAGGCTGTCACAATTGTATCTTTACTTTAAGGTACTAGCATCAATAATTAGAACTCACATACAAAAGAGGCTTAGAGGTGGGTACACAGAGGTTTGGCTAGTTCCACTTTAGAGGAAGTCTTGTGGAAGGAGCTGCACTGCCAAGAATAATATCACAAATGGGGAAAAAAGTCTTCCATACAGAAGAGGTAACTTGAGCCTACATGTTGAGAGAGGTTTTAGAAAAGGTGATCCTTCATGGTTCTCATGTATTTCATATCATGTTTAGTGCAACACTAAATATACACGCTTAGTGCGATACCATGAATAACACCATGGGACCCATCCAAAGTACCATTAATGATGGGGGAAGCGCTCCCAAGAAGCAGAGAAAAGTTGTAACATTTTAAGAAAAAGCTGAATTGCTTGATATGTATTACAGATTGACACCTGCAGTTGTGGTTGCCCACCATTTCGGACAGATGTTTCATCTTGTAAACAGATGACATAAACTTTTGGTACTGATAAATACAATGCAGTACTGAAAATGTATTTTCTCTTCCTTATAATTTTCTTCCTTTTATATTTTTTTGAGACAGGATCTTGCTCTGTTGCCCAGGCTGGAGTGCAGTGGCATTATCACAACTTACGAGAGCCTTCATTTTGCAAGCTCAAACCTCCAAGTAGTTGGGACCACAGGTATGTGCCACCACGTCTGGTTTTTAAAAATTATTTTGTAGAGACAACGTCTCCCTATATTGCAGAAGCTGGTCTCAAAACTCCTGGGCTTATGTGATCTTCCTGCCTCTGCCTCCCAAATAGCTAGGATTTCAGGTGTGCACCTCCACCATGCCTAGCCTGATTTTCTCTTTTCTTTTTTGGAGATGGAGTCTCACTCTGTTGCCCAGGTCAGAGTACAGTGGCATGATCACAGTTCACTGCAACCTCAACCTCCCTGGGCTCAGGTGATACTCCCACCTCAGGCTCCTGAGTAGCTAGGACTACAGAGATGCGCCACCATGCCCGGCTAATTTTTTAAGTTTGTAAAAAATTTTTAAGATGGGGGGGTTCTGCTTTGTTGCTTAGCCCAGGCTGGTTTCAATTGAGCTGCCTGCCTTGGCCTCCCAAAGTGCTGAGATTATAGGCGTGAGCCACTGTGTCCAGCCCCAGCCTGATTTTCTTAAAAACATTTTCTTTTCTCTGTGGTTCAAGGACATCAGTTGAAAAAACAGAAAAAAGAAAATAAAAAAAAATTTTCTCTAACCTATTTCATCATAAGAATATAGTATATGATACATATAAAATACAAAATATGTGTTAACTATCATATCAATAAGGCTTCAGGTCAATGGTAAGCCGTTAGTATGTACGTTTTTGGGGAGTCAAAAGTTATACATACATATATATTTTTTCAATTCATAAGAGACAGGGTCTATGCTGCCCAGGCTGGTCTTGAACTCCTGGGTTCAAGCCATCTTCCCGCCTTGGCCTTTCAAAGTGCTGAAATTACAGGTGTGACCCATTGCCCCCAGCCTATACACAAATTTCTGACTGAATGGGGAGGTCAATGCTCCTAGTTCAAGGGTCAATGAAAGAGAGAGAGAGAGAGAATAAAAAGACAAAAAACTGATCAAACAAACATAGCAAAATGGTACTAATTAGTAAAACCACTTGGTGGATGTATGGATATTTATTTTACAGCCCATCTTACTTTTTAATTTGAAACTACTTTATAGTAAGTTAAAAGAATTTAATGACCAAACATTTCTTTGAAATGTTAATGTAATTTCATATGTCAAAATGATTTTGCAATTTGTAAGAGAATAAAATTTACCTCTTTGAAAACCATTCCAAGCTCATGGTTAGAAATAAATAAATATTGTGAAAATGGCCATACTGCCCAAAGTAATTTATAGATTTAACGCTATCCTCATCAAGCTACCTATGACCTTCTTCACAGAACTGGAAAAAACCACCTTAAACTTCATACGGAACCAAGAGAGAGCCTGCATAGCCAAGACAATTCTAAGCAAAAAGAACAAAGCTGGAGGCATCATGCTACCTGACTTCAAACTATACTACAAGGCTACAATAATCAAAACAACACGGTACTGGTACCAAAACAGAGATATAGACCAATGGAACAGAACAGAGGCCTCGGAGGCAATGCCACACATCTACAACCATCTGATCTTTGACAAACCTCACAAAAACCAGCAACGGGGAAAGGATTCCCTGTTTAATAAACGGTATTGGGAAAACTGGCTAACCATGTGCAGAAAGCAGAAACTGGATCCCTTCCTGATACCTTACACTAAAATTAACTCCAGATGGATTAAAGACTTAAACATAAAACCTAACATCATAAAAGCTCTAGAAGAAAACCTAGGTAAAACCATTCAGGACACAGGCATAGGCAAGGACGTCACAACTGAAACACCAAAAGCATTGGCAACAAAAGCCGAAATAGACAAATGTGATCTAATTAAACTCCAGAGCTTCTGTACAGCAAAAGAAACAATCATTAGAGTGAATCAGCAATCTACAGAATAGGAAAAAATTTTTGCAATCTACCCATCTGACAAAGCACTAATATCCAGAATCTACAAAGAACTAAAAGAAATTTATAAGAAAACAAACAAACAAACCTATTCAAAAGTGGGTGAAAAATATGAACAGACACTTTTCAAAAGAAGACATATGTGAGGCCAACAAAAATATGAAAAAATGCTCATCATCACTGGCCATTGGAGAAATGCAAATCAAAACTACTTTGAGATGCTAGCTCACACCAGTTAGAATGGCAATCATTAAAAAATCTGGAGACAGATGCTGGAGAGGATATGGAGAAACAGGAACACTTTTACACTGTTGGTGGGAGTGTAAATTAGTTCAACCATTGTGGAAGACAGTGTGGCAATTCCTCAAGGACCTAGAAATAGAAATTCCATTTGACCCAGCAATCCCATTACTGGGTATATATCCAAAGGATTATAAATTATTCCGTTATAAAGACACATGCACATGTATGTTCACTGTGGCACTATTTACAATAACAAAGACTTGGAACCAACCCAAATGCCCATTGATGATAGACTGGACAGGGAAAATGTGGCACATATACACCATGGAATACTATGCAGCCATAAAAAACGATGAGTTCGTGTCCTTTGTAGGGACATGGATGAAACTGGAAACCATCATTCTCAGCAAACTGACATAAGAACAAAAAAAAATCAAACACCACACGTTCTCACTCATAGGCGGGTGGTTGAACAATGAGAACACATGGACACAGGGAGGGAAGCATCACACACTGAGGTCTGTTGTGGGGGACTAGGGGTGGGGCAGTGATGGGTAGGGAGTTGGGGAGGGATAACATGGGGAGAAATGCCAGATATAGGTGATGGGGATGGAGGGAGCAAACCACATTGCCACGTATGTACCTATGCAACAATCCTGTATGTTCTTCACAGGTACCCCAGAACCTAAAGTGCAATAAAATATATATATTTTAAAATATATATATATATTATTATTATAATAAAATTTACCTCTTTGAGCTTCTAGTTCTTCCCCTTTGGTTACACACAAACTGGAAACTTCCTGATAATCGTCTAACTTGTTGGTCCCTAAAATCTTCTCAAGATTTGGTTTAGGCTTGGCAAATCTACTTATTCTTGAATTACTGGTCACTTTAGAAGTTGTATTCCTAAAAACAGAAGATAGAGAAATTTATGAATCATGTTAGATATTGCTCTTTCACTTTAATACCGTCTGCCTAGCACTGATAGAGTGAATGACCAACCTGTTAGGTGCCACATTGTCTACAAGTGTTCATGTATTAATACTAAAATTACAAAGTAGTAACTTTACTAGAGGTGTTGAGAAGAGAATTTAGTCTGTACAGGTATTGATCGACTTACGACCTATGCAACTTACGACCATTTGACTTTACGACCACAATCACTAGCCAGAACTGCTCTGCGTCTGGCAGCGCAAACGTTGCCCAGTTGGGCATACAACAGTGCAGACCAGCTTCCAGCAGCACTACCATCTCCGCGTGCACCATTTCAACTGTACGTATAGCCTACTCAACTTACGACCAAATCGTGTTACAACCGGTCTGCCGGTCCCAATCGTGGTCGTAAGTCGAGCACTAGCTGTATTTGTAAAACAGACCATTTACATAAAACTATTTCATTAACGCTTCAAAGACACACAACATTCACTACTATAATTTAAATATGCAAACCATTAACCTAAAATCAAAATCAGTCAGTCTTTAAAGAGTAAGAAATTAGCATTGCCTACTTTACATTTACAAGCATTACTCAAAGCTATTAACTAATTTGATGGCAGTTTTAGTAATATGTATTAGTTGAATACTAAAATAAACCTGGTTGGCGTAGCATTCTCCTTTACGTTCTCCATTAAACTAATTTCTTTTCTGGAAATTTGCTCCTCCAATACAATCTTGTTTTCTTCAAATGATGCAAGAGATGTAGTAATGACAGGTGAAGAAAGCTCCTGACATTCATGAACAATTCTCTGATTTACATTATCTAGGCTAAAAGGAATATGGCTTTTATCCTTTGAATGAACATGAGGAAGTACACATACTCCTACTGAAGAAAAAAAAAAAAAACAGAAAATTAAAACAAACCAAATTATAGATGCTCAAAATAAATTCCTCAACATTTAGTAACCGTAAAATTCTGTATTATTAAAGTTTGCTTTATTTGTGCAGCAGAAAAAGATAAAAAAAATAAATATAATAAAAGTTTGCTCTTGTTGGCTATAAATTTAAATTTATGCTTTCCTATTTCATGCCAGGGATTTGACCTATTGTGAGCTTAATAATTCCTTTTTTTCTTTTTTTGAGACGGAGTCTCACTCTGCTGCCTAGGCTGGAGTACAATGGCACGATCTCAGCTCACTGCAACCTCTGCCTCTTGAGTTGAAGTGATTTTCCTGCCTCAGCCTCCCAAGTGGCTGCGACTACAGGCGTGCGCCACCATAACCAGCTAATTTTTGTATTTTTAGTAGAGACAGGGTTTCACCATATTGGCCAGGCTGGTCTGGAACTCCTGACTTCGTGACCCACCCACCTTGTCTCCCAAAGAGCTGGGATTATAGGCGTGAGCCACCACGCCCAGCCAAGCTTAATAATTCTTATAGGCTAAAATTTTATTCAATTATAAGTAAAAATGAGTCTTTTTATTACTTTCAGTAATTATATAATCTCAGATAGATTTCAAGTTAGATGGCACTTCCATCATTTACAATTTTTAAAACCTTATGTTCTATGTATACTTTATGTTCTACACATTTCTGACAGGCTCTACTGCAATGCTCTCCCACTAAGAATGGAGCCCCACACAGAACACAAATCAGAGATTTTCCTGATAAATATGTTTCCAACCCTAAAAGTCTAATACATATCTATCTATTTTTAAGACAGGGTGTTACTTTGTTGCCCCGGCTGCAGCGCAGTGGCATGATCTCAGCTCACTGCAGCCTCGAACTCCTGAGCTCAAGCGATCCTCCCACCTAGCTTCCCAAACAGCTGGGACTACAGGTGTGCACCACTATGCCTGGCTCATTTTCTGTGTTTTTTTGTAGAGACGAGGTACCACCATGTTGCTCGAGCTGGTTAAACTCCTGAGATCAAGCAATCGCCAGCCTTGGTCTCCCAAAGTGCTGGGATTACAGGCATGAGCTGCCATGTTCAGCCCAAAAGTCTAATACTTAAAATGAATGGAGGCTGGGCACAGTGGCTCACACCTGTAATACCAGCAGTTCAGGAGGCCAAGGCGGGTGGATCACCTAATGTCAGGAATTTGAGACCAGCCTGGCCAAGATGGTGAAATCCCATCTCTTTAAAAAATACAAAAATTAGCTGGGCATGGTAGCAGGCACCTGTAATCCCAACTACTCAAGAAGCTGAGACAGGAGAATTGCTTGAACTTGGGAGGTAGAGGTTGCAAAGAGCCGAGATCATGCCATTGCACTCCAGCCTGGGCAACAAGAGTGAAACTCCATCTCAAATAAATGAATGAATGAATGGTAGACTACTCATAATCAGGCAAAATAATTACCAGGAATAGTATAATTATTCATTTCATGCAGTTAAAATATACTGAGATTGGCCGGGCACGGTGGCTCAAGCCTGTGTAATTCCAGCAATTCGGGAGGCCGAGGCAGGCGGATAATGAAGTCAGGAATATAAGACCAGCCTGACCAAGATGGTGAAACCTCGTCTCTACTAAAAATACAAAAATGAGCTGGGTGTGGTGGTGCACACCTAAAATTCTAGCTACTCAGGAGGCTAAGGCAGGAGAATCACTTGAACCCGAGAGGCAGAGGTTGCAGTGAGGAGAGGTTGCGCCACTGCATTGCAGCCTGGGTGACAGACCGAGACTCCATCTCAAAAAAAAAAAACAAAAACAAAAAAAACTGAGATAGTAAAGATTTATTACTTGTCTGTGATTTCCGTCTGATAAATTAAAAATCTTGGTTGACATATCTTTTGGTTCTGTCCAGATTGAGAACAGTTTAAATTATTTTAAAATTATTTCAATGAGTTCTATTGCCTCTTTGTGCTGTATTCATCATCTAATTGTGAATACCATCCCAAGGAGCAACTCCTTTGTTATAAGACACATGTATAAAGTGATCAGTCAGCTCAGTTAACCAATCACGTTCATGATGGTAAAGGTAGTATTCACTATAGCAACTATTCCATGAATACAAATTATTCTTTTTTTTTTTTTTTTGGAGACGGAGTTTCGCTCTTGTTACCCAGGCTGGAGTGCAATGGTGCGATCTTGGCTCACCGCAACCTCCGCCTCCTGGGTTCAGGCAATTCTCCTGCCTCAGCCTCCTGAGTAGCTGGGATCACAGGCACGTACCACCATGCCCAGCTAATGTTTTGTAGTTTTAGTAGAGACGGGGTTTCACCATGTTGACCAGGATGGTCTCGATCTCTTGACCTCGTGATCCACCCACCTCAGCCTCCCAAAGTGCTGGGATTACAAGCATGAGCCACCGCGCCCGGCCTGAATACAAATTATTCTTAATAAACCAAGTGCACGATCTAGAATGAGCTGTCGCTACACCTAAACGGTAGTAAAATAACAGGTGAATCAATACCCACATATCACCTTTTACGGAAGAACAACAAAATGAAGACAACTTCAAATATAAAAGGTTTATTACTAAATGTGGGTATAATTTCCTAAAAGTTAGACATTAGAAGTTTCTATTTTTGTTAGGACTTGGCTTTCATTCTTACCATCACCCTGTTCAGTACTGATGTCTGACTGCAATACTAGATCTCCCATTGTAAGTAAAGTTATCGCAGCTTCGGTGCTTCCATCATTGGTACCTTGTGAGGAAATATATCAAAATTAAAACACAAGAACAAATCTGGAAATCTGTTTACTTAAAAAAGATTTTTATTTGAGGTGTTTATCTACTAGTAGCAGGTTCCAATATCCTCTGAATCATTATTCCCTTACTAGGGTAGTCTTTTGCTCAGGTTATTTGCTATAAATAAATCATCACTGCTGGTTTTGACTCACTGACCATGCCGCCCTCCCATTAAATAATATCTTCAAGGAAAATGCTCCCCCATTTGTGCAGATCCAGAGGAAATGCTCAAATACTTCTTATTCAAAATTTAACTTTTAATTCACTTTCTAAAATATCATTCTAAGAATCCACATTTCTCAAAGAGATAACATAATCAATAGGTGAATCTTTTGGTTAAAACTCTCCAGCAAACCGATTCATTTATTATCCCCACTATTATATCACTGTACTAGCAAGGTAGTCTTAGCAGTTCCCTTGATAACAGTTACCTGGTTCATCTTGGATATGTTCACCTGTGGTCATTTCCTAAAAAAGAAAAAATTAAGTAACATCTTAAATATTTTCCCAAACATGTTCTGTTTTTCAACATGCACTACATTTTTAGAGGTCTTTCCATACTTTTCATTACAACAGTGTAAACTGGTTTGTCTTAATTTATAATTATTCACCAAATTTCACCAGCAAGAACAGAAATAATTTAAAGGCCAAATTCTTATGTCTCTTGCTCCTGATTTTATCTTTTTTTTCTGTATTATGTGCAAATTTTAACTCTGATCACATTGTTATATACATCTACCATTCTTACTTTACTTTTTCATTTTCATAATCCTTCAACTCTAGTCATATCTGTTGCCAATTTTTAACCAACGGAAACCAAGGCCTGAAGGGTATTGCAAAATTTTTATACTACTACGTAGCTTAAAACTTAAATGCATTTCAATAAATTAAGAAGTTATAGAATCAATGTAAAGGGCGACAACTTGAGAAGCTTCATTGACCCACTCCATAGGGAAACTGATCTAAAAAACAAAACATTTGAAAGCCTCTGAAAATGATCCTAATGACAAAAAGCAAATAAATAAATACCTATTCAAGAAAATCTGAAAATTTGCTAACAAAGGTGAGTGTCTATGTGAACCAAAACTGCTCTCTCTCTCTCTTTCCTCCCAGCTCAGTGTGGCAGAGACTTCACTTCAAACTGCTGCACCCAAAAAAACAAGGCCCCCTGTTCCCAAGGTCCCACCTGGAAAGCATTTTTCCCTACGGGAGCAGGACTTCAGCTCCTGACATCACAAGAAAAGTACAGACCAATATCTATTATGAATATGAACATAAAAATCATCAATAAAATACTAGCAAACTGAATCCAACAATGTATAAAAATTAGACATTATGACCATAGAATTTATCCTGGGTAAGCAAGGTTGGTTTAACATCCAAAAATCAATACAATAAAAAACAAAATTCACATGATCATCTCAATAGATGAAGAAAAAGTATATGACAAATTCCAACTCTCTTTAACGACAGAAACATTCAACAAACTAGGAATAGAAGGTAACTTTTTTAACTTGGTAAAGGACAGCTATGAAAAACCCATGGCTAACATCATACTTAATGATAAGACTGGATGGGATGAGTGGTAGCAGCCAGACCGCCCAGCTCTGAGAAGGTTCTCAGCATGGTGCGGCTCACAGGCACCCAGCACGCACCCTCTGCCAGGCTGCAAGATGCCCAAGAGGAAGATCAGCTCTGCAGAACGGCAGTGAAGGAAAGAGTCCAAGATGAGATTGGTATGACTATCAGCTAAACCTCCTCCTGCCAAAGTGGAAACAAAGTCAAAAAAGGCAGCAGGAAAGGATAAATCTCCAGACAAAAATGTGCAAACTAAAGCAAAAGGGGGAACAAAGGGAAAACAGACCAAAGTGGCTAATCACAAAACTAGATTTGCCTACATAAAACTAAGAAACAGAAACCAAGGAGTGTCCAACCTCTGATGAAGTCCGAGAGAAAAAAACCCAAGTCCAATTAATACAGAGCATGTCTTACCAACAGTCCGTCTCCCTTCTTGTACATTCCAGAGGAATGTTTTTATAAACTATTTCATAAATGCAAGTTTTTTAGTAACTCTAGAAACATTTTTAAGAAGAAGGGAGTCCAGGCGTGGTGGGTCACGCCTGTAATCCAAGCACTTTGGAGGCCAAGTCAGGCGGATCACCTGAGGTCGGGAGTTCAAGACCAGCCTGATCAACATAGTGAAACCCCGTCTTTTAAAAAAAAAAAAAAAAAAAAAGAAGGGAATCCCACCTCATTCCATTTTTTAAGTGTAAATGTTTTTAAGAGGTAAAAATCATTTGCCATTGTATATTTTTTGGTGCAATCAGAAATAGTGTGGGATATTGAATTATGGGAGGCTCTGACTATCTTGGGTATCAGCTTAACATTCCACCATATTAACTGGAATATGGAGTCACAGTCCTACATCTGATGTCTTGAAATTTTTAAGTTACTTTTATTCCCATGGTTTGGTTCTGTTTTGTTTGAGACAAGAGTCTTGCTCTGATGCCCAGACTGGAGTGCAATGGTGGCGATGACAGCTCACTGCAACCTCACCCTCCTGGGCCACGGCAATCCTTCTGCTTTAGCCTCCAGAGCAGCTGGGACCACAGGCGCATGCCACCATGCCCAGCCAACTTTTAGAAAACATATTTGTAGAAAGGGTCTCCCTATGTTGCCCAGGCTGGTCTTGAACTACTGGACTCAGGCTATCCTCTGACCTCCCAAAATACTGGGATTACAGGCATGAGCCACCACACCTGGGCCCATGTTGATTTTAGTAAAATTGCTTCTTAAAGAAAACCACTCCTTGATCATGGCTCTCCCTGTCAGAATTGTGTGTGCTCTATAAGTCTTTGGTTGTGTTAGTCCTGTTTTCCTAATAACTTTGTTAATGTGCTGTGAAAGACTGAAAATTTGAGTATGTAGTATATATGCTATTAAATTGTAAATTGTGGAAGTATTTAACAGCTTATCAACATGTAAGAATGCTGGTACTTGATAGCCTTTTAATGAAAAGTTGCCTCCAAATTTTAAGCTGGAAAGTCACTGGAGTAACTTTTGAAATCATTACAATACATGGCTTTTTGGATTTTTTTTTTTTTTTTTTTTTTTTTTGAGACGG